TTGTTTTTTTGTTTTATATATATTACAATGGAAAATAATGAAAAAAATAAATAAATCAAACGAGATCAAGCAAAAATTTTTATAAAGAGTAAAGATTTAAGACTATCTAAATGATGCCAAAAAAATATTGTCTTGAATATTTGTAATTATGATTAAGCCGCATCAAAATATCTTAACTCTGGTATATTTTACTTTTGGATAAGTTAAATTTTATTCATCCAAAAAAATAACAAAGTTTGCTATAGAAAAATCACAATAAATAAGAAAATAGTACAAATAAATCAACTTAATAATGTTTCTATTTGTGCCAGCTCTGAGCTAAGAGATAAAACTCTTAAATCATAAGAAAGAAAAAAAAGAATAACTAAGAGTAAGGATTAGAACTATTTTATGCGCTTGCACTTCAATGTTTAAATCAAAAATCGATTATAAAAAATTAAAAAGACAATAAAATAAAGAGAAAGTAGAAGAAAACAAGATAATTAAATAGTATTTAAATGATCTTATTTATAGATGAAAGATAAAAGAGTTTATAAAGTAAATTGGTAATATAACCAAACTAACCTAGCATTATACATATTAAGTCAAACTAACACATTAAGTCGGTTTAAAAATAAAAAATACCTTTAATTATTTGGTAACAGTTTTTAATAAGGAAAAAAACCTTTTTATCTTTTGGATCCAAAAATATCCCTAACTGTTTCATCAAGATCCCAATTATGCCAAAGAAGTATATTTGGAGAATTGGCAGATGTATGGTGAGTACCATATAGCCTGTATCGTACTGCATCTTTCACAAAACTGCAAAATGGAGCTACTGCAGCCATTATGTTGACAGAAAACTCTCTTATTTCTTTCCTTCCGCACACCATAGATTAACGCATTTCAGGCTATTTTAAAGATAACATGAGGAGGGATTTGCCTTTGAAATTAGTTTTGATCCAGATAAATTCATTTTGCCAGTCATGCACTGGCCTTTGAATCCCATGGAGCTGAAGCACTTGCAACCAAATTGGTTTAGTGAACATACATGTTAAGAATAGATGATCCTTAGATTCAACTTCTAATTACAAAGCAAGCATTTGGGGTCTGAAGGAACACCCCATTTGCATAATCATTGTTTAGTGGGAAGTTTAGCAAGCATTTCTTCACCCATGCTCAGAAGAGTAAGCATGCCTGATTCCAGGATTTTTAATCCTCAAGCCCAAGTCCGCCCTCTGATTTTGGTATGCAAAGATGCTGCGAACCCGATCACCATGAGCCTTGCCACTTTACCTTCCCAAAAGAATGCAGTACAAAGTTGCACCACTTTTTTAATGACTTTTTGAGGAAGAATAAAATTTCTAAGCCAGAAGTTCTGCATACTAACAATAACTGACTTGACCAACTGCTGCCTTCCTACATACGAGAGATTCTTGACAGCCCAACATATGACCCTATTGGTAATTTTATCCACAAAGGTTGCACAATCCTTTTCGGACAACTTTCGTGAAGAAAGTGGAGTGGTACTCCAAGATACCTTACCGGAAGTGTGCCAAGTTTAAATTAAATAAGGCACAAATCATCATCAGAAATACCAGAAGAATAAATTTCACTTTTCGAGGAATTAAGTCGCAAGCCAGACAATAAATAGAGTTTTTATAAGATGCTATGAATGGCTATAATGGATGAAGGTGTACTTTTAGTGAAGACAATAAGATCGGCAGCAAAACATAAGTAGGTAACATCAATGCCCTTACATCGAGGGTGGTAAATTCAATTCCGTGAGATTAAAACTAAAAAAAAAAAAAAAAAAACATTCCGATAAGCAAGTTTTTAAAATCTTTTTACCATAAAGCTTTAAAGGCTAAAGTATATAAAAGTTTCGAACTATAATTAAAAAATTATTTATGTTTTTATTTTTTATTACAATCAATTAATTCTTTTAATATTTTTATGCATTTAATTAAGTTTTTATTTGGATAATACAGTTAATTTTTTTATCAATTAAAATTAAATTTCACATAATATTAATAAAATAGATAAAATTTGTTCACATGATGCAATTGAAACTTAAATAAAATAAACTTTTTTTTTTTTTTTTCCTTTCCCCTTTCTCTAAAATCTTTTAAAGGATTCAATTAATTGTAATTTTGAGATCGATTGATTCAATTTTGTTAGATGACTAGATTTTGTCTAATTAAAGATTCAATTAAGTTGAAATAAAAGATTAAAAACTCAATTAATTGTAATAAAATGTTAAAAACATAAATAATTTTATAATTATAATTCATAGGTAATATTTTTGACCTTTTAACCAAATTTTAACAATCTTCTAATTAAACAGTACATTTTAAAATATACATATGCATTTTAGACAATAAAAAAAAAAGGGAAAAAAAGGAGTAGGGATGACTCCGGCTCTCATCCATTATTTTTCTATAAATTACTTTTTAATACTCTTTAATCATTATTTATAAACATGACAAGACATAAGTAATTTTATGGGTGAATTTACACATATGAATGATGATAATAAATTGATAAATAATGAACAGATAGATAAGTAATGGAGAAAAGCCCAAGAAGATACTGATGCTATATAGCATGTGCTTATATATATATATATATATATATATTAATACAAAAAAAAATATGCTTAAATATTGAAACTCCCAAAATTTATATGCGACAAAATTGTACCCAAATGAAGGTGGGTGTCCCAACTTCTAATCCTAAGCAATATGAAGATGGTGTCTCACAAAACATGGATATAATATATTTCAATATATATATAAAAGAAGAGATGTATTTATATTAATGTAAAATGAAATAATTTTATATATTTATGGTCCTTGATTTTTGTTTAATTTAACAGTTGATATAATTTATCATTTAAACATAAATATCTTTATCATTTAAAAATTTTTTTTATCCATTTGGAAATCTCCTTGTTTTGCTCTCTCCATTTCGATCAAACTAAAGATATTTTATATCCTTGCATTTTTTGTTTTCTACATCTGTCATTTGTTGAGCCGGATTCCTATGCACATATATTTGTTTTGCTGCAACAATAATTTATCAATTATTAATTTTTATTCCTCTGTCATGCGTAACAAAATTAGAAAATGGGAAGCAACTCATAACAGTCAGTTATTTCGGCTGTAATATGTTTTGTATGTCCTTACATGTTAGCAAGAAATCAGTTTCTATATGTAAAAGAGTACTACTAAAAATGAAATACGACAATGGAAAATCTTAATAGGTAAATTCGATAGAGAAAATGCAGATATTGTGGCAGAAAGTCTTCCTACTAATATAAGTTGATTGATAAATTTCTGTAATTTGAAAACTTTTTGTTTATTTCCTCTGAAAACTTTTTTTTTTTTTACACAAATGGCAAGAAAATCATTGAAGGAGATGCAGATCACCTTGTAAAAAAAACTTTAAAAAAAGATATTCATATTAATTCTATGATAATATTCAGAATCAAAAAATGAATTTAACTTATAAATATCTCATACATTTTTGGGATTAGCTATCTCATTGATATTTTAGAGGATTTCCATTTTTATTTATATTGATCAATATTTTACACAATTACAATAAAAAATTTTGAAAAATAAAAATTTTGGAGTGAAAATAAGTAGAAGTGACTAGTAAGCAGTTTGTCAGTTCAGTTCAAAAACCGAATTTGTCTACTATTTTTTCATGGATTTTGGATGGAAAATATCATACCATTCTTTAAAATATGAATAAAATATATTATATTATATATATTTAAAAATTATTAAAAATTTTCATTAATTTGATCAATTTAATTATTAATTTTAAATATAAAAAATTTTTAACAATCATTATTAAAACCGAACATACTGAATTGATTTGACTGAATTTTGTTGATTTTATTGGATAAGCCGGTTTAGAACTGACTCTACTCATCTTAAAAAATGAGAAACCATAAAATTTGAATAAACAAAAATATGATTTTTCTAAAATTGCAAAGAAAAATCAACATTTAGTTTTTAAATTAGACACTAAAAAAAATATAAACAGGACTTATTTTATTGATTCTTGTTCTTTTTCTTTTTAGTAATTTCCTTAAAAATGTACTTTTGATTTTAATTTATTTTCCAATAAACCAAACAAAGAATAAAACATTTTAATTTGGAAAAAGAAATAATAATGATTGAAAAGGAACAAGGTCTGTTTATGATGATGAAGATTGAAGACATGAAGTGTTGGAAACCTAATAATTTGAATTGAAATTTCCTACAAAATTTCAATAGAAATGACCCACTAATGCTCCCTTGAAAATAAACATAGCATGGGAAATCACCAGCAGCAAAACTATTAGTTGCAAATTACTGTTTCAAAAATCAAAGTATGAAAAAAGTAGGGATGAATTTGATTTCAAATTGAAGGGACCCAATTGTAGGGGACTGCAAATATTTTGTTCTTCTTTTGCCAAAGATCACATTATCCCAAAGGTGAACAATTCATCGACAATCACGTAGATTGTAATTTATCAGTAAAATATAAAATTTGAATTTTATTAATCCAAAAGCAATATTTAAATGAAAAAAATAAAAAAGTTGTGTGCAAATTTCCCTCTGCATTTTTATTTATTTTCAGTTTTATCCCTTTATTAAGATTGTTTATTTTCATTGTGCAATTTGATTTATATGGAAGTGGCAAAGTAAAAAAATGCATGTTCTTTGCTAATAATTTCTCATTTAATTTTTTTTAAAAATAATTTGAATTATGTTGGAATCCTGTGTGAAAGGATGTGATAGTGATGGGCAACTCAATGTATTGTAGTATCTTTCAATAACCGATAAATTTAAAAGAAATTGAGAAATTAAGACCAATAAAAGTTCATATATGTGAGTTGTTAGAAAATAAATTTAAGTTGATTTTCCACGTGCATGGGAAAGCTCTCTGAAACTGTAGCCTTACATCAACCGAAAAGGCCAACATTTGTGGCCATCAGCCATCCCTAGTTAAAATTGCCTGGAGCATTAATCAAAGAGTCAACAGAATATTATTATTGATTGAACTATTAAAAATGGGAAACACACCACCATCTTTGCTTGTTGTCCAATTCAAAAATCAACCTAGAAGATCTTGATGAAATCTACCGGATCTTGCTTTCCAAACTGTCAGATTTTCCATAGGATTTGCGTCTTCTTCCCCCATGGCCAACCATTTAAAACTCACCTCCCCATTTCTTCTTCTTCTCCATCGCTTTTCCAAACCCAATATTCCCATCTTCTTCTTCTTATCTGGGTGTTTGTTGATTTGTTGAAATCACACATCTTCACCAATCATGGGAATGGCTACCGATCAGGCTAAATTTCATGTTCTTGCTGTTGATGACAGCCTTATTGATAGAAAGCTCATTGAAAGGCTTCTCAAGACTTCCTCTTATCAAGGTAAACTATTTTTTTCCCAAGTAAAAGGAGTTACAACCACTAGGTCAAGTCTGACTTGTAAAACAGGTTTTTTTTTTTTTTTTTGGGAGGGGGGGGGTTGAGACAGAACATTGATTGATTTTTTTTTCTTGTTTTGTGATTGTGTTTACAGTTACTGCAGTGGATTCTGGAAGCAAGGCTTTGGAGTTTCTTGGATTGAATAACAATGAAGATGAACAGAGAAATTCAAATCCTGCATCTGTTTACCCCAATGATCATCAAGATGTGGAAGTCAATCTGATCATAACAGATTATTGTATGCCAGGAATGACAGGCTATGATCTCCTAAGAAAAATCAAGGAATCTTCATCTTTCAAAGACATACCAGTTGTGATCATGTCCTCGGAGAATATCCCATCAAGAATTAACAGGTTAGAGAAACATTAGTCATAGAAGAATTCAGATTTAATTAATCACTTTCAATGTTGATTTATCAATTAGGCTGACATGAATTTTTTTAATGGTTGAATCAGATGCCTGGAAGATGGAGCTGAAGAGTTCTTTTTGAAGCCAGTTCAATTATCAGATGTAAACAAGCTCAGGCCTCATCTGATGAAAGGAAGATCTAAAGAGATTCAACCAAACATAAACAAGAGAAAGGGCATGGAAGAAATTCAGTCCCCTGATAGAACAAGAGCAAGATACAATGAATTGGAAGTGGTCTCACCGGCAAATTGATCGATATTTTCTGATTTTTGAGATTATTCTTGATTCTATCTCTTTTTGGTTTTTATTCTTTATTTTTCCCTTTGACTCTTTGCTTATACAGAATCAGTGTATAGGTTTTTGGTTTCATTTGAAAGAAGAGAGAGAGAGAGCGAAAGCTACTTGTCATGTTAGGGTTATGGAATCCAGGGTTCCACTGTAAATTACAAGAAAGGAAAATATAAACTCAATTTTGTTGGATGATTAACAAAATATGCCCCTCTTGATTTATCTGTGTCAGATTTTTCTATTTCAATTCGAGAATTATGTTCAAACTAAAATCATGTTTGTCTGAAGAATCTATCGCATCTCTGGCTAAAACTCATAACAGATTCTCACCATAGGCCTAAACCCGAATTCTGCATGTTCTTAATATTGGAAATTTGGAATATAAATGTTCAAATAGACATATTACAACCAGAAGTTCCATTTTCTGTCAAAACTTTGAAAACTTCACAGAGAAATCAATGGTAAGCGTGCAAAATGCAAAAAGATTCTCATCTATAATTAGTCTCTTTCATTCAGTTTCTCAGTAATCAAACACTCCTGTGCTCTGCAGAATGCACAACCGTTCGCAAATAAAGGGAATAAAAAAAAAAGAAGAACAACTATAGTAAATGGATATGTTCCGTACAGGTCACTAAAAGCCACGCCAAAATTTTCTTATATGAAGGAACTACTATAGGCAAGCTAATTCATCTTATTGATTAGGTCATTGATCTCATCTTCACGATAACCAACATCTCCTCCTTTGTATGGCTGTTTCTTCCCTTGGATTAATCCATCTTCTGGCTCACTAAGCGTAAGGGGTCCTAAGAAATGAATGACCTCCTTGAAATGTGGACCAACATTTGCAATTTCGTGTACAATATCTTCTATGCATATGATGCCGTACTTTCCCAATGTCTGAAAAACAAATGAGTTTTGGTTACAAGCATTATGATCCTATGGACAAAGTTAAACTATCATACCTGTTCAGTAATATTATTATCTAGGAACAGCTTTCTTGTCAATCCTTGCATAGCCCTTCTTGCAAATCAGCTCCTTCACATTCTTAAGATTAGGATATCTGCATACAACAATCATAGCACTATAAATCAACTGTCTTAGGGGTAACTTTTAGTTAAAGAAACATAAATAAGAGAATTATGCATTGTAACTGAATCTAGAAGTGCAAGCTAATGGAAAACCAACATAACCGTTATAACTTGACTAGGATCAAAGTTAATGAAGGTTCAGCCATATGCCTACAACCATCACAATATCTCTAGCGTAGCCAGTTTTTCACATAACTGCCAATTATTGCCAAATCACTAATGCCATATATTCAAAATCATATGCATGAACTCTACAATTTATGGATGATAATCTGAGAAATTTGCCCAACATAAGCAATGATAACATATTCCCTAGATGTTTCTATACACCATTAGAACCAGATGCCAAAAGGACTTCCGCATAAGGATAGAGCCTTGATTGGTTCAGAATTACAGAGTCCCCTCTATTTTTGTTTCTTGTTAAGGACAAATGGTTGCTAAATTTACAACAGGTAGCAAATTCCTTCCAAGCATCCTAAACAAAGAAAATCTGATGAAGCCTTCCTCAATCAGAGTGCCTCAGCAAACTATCCAAGCTAAATGATCTCACTCCACCATGAATTAATAGACAAGTCAACCTCAAAATAAAAGTTTCTGAATTACTAAACACATTATCAAGGCTCACACCAATAGGCCACTAATAGATGACAAAAGGTTAACGAATACAGTATTTGCTTGATCAGAAGTTCACAGAAAGCATCGGTTGATACCATTACCCGAAAAAAAAAAAAGCCAATGCAAATCACTCACAAGAAAAGCAAATAGCAAATCACTTCAGATTCTAGCTAGTAAGATGCATAGAGCAATTTTCCATGGCAAGTTTCATAACTCACTTCACAGAAATAAGAAATGAGATGCATGTTGATTGCCAAGGGTGCATGCAAAACCTTCTGCATGTAATTCAATGTATATCTAGGCATGCAATTCACAGTGATGACCAAAAATAAAGGACATGAAGATGTAGGTAATTAAGTAGGCACTCGTAAAACAATGATACACATACATTAGAGGAAGAAAATCATCGATACACAAGGAGTAGCCTCTTACAATTTATATGTGTTTTAACCTCGTAAGATTCAGCATTTTACATTCACTAGGAAAGAAAAAAAGAATTCTAAAAGGAACAGGATTGCTTTCATACCCATATGTCACATAGGGCTCCACTTTCTGCAGCATTTCTATTACACCCTCAGTTGTGTTTTCAAAGACACCACTGAAAGCTTTCCTCAATCTCAGGTTGTATTCCTAGTTTTTGGATGCATGTCATTTTTGCTGCAAAAAAATATAATAAAAATAGAAAGAATATAGCTTTAAGAGATTAGAAGCAAAAACATTGAATAAGATCAGGGGGGAAATATAACCTATCCATGTATACGGATAATGAAAAGCAACTTCGATCTTGGTTCTGGTATCATTGATTTTGGTCTCTTTGCCCTCTGTTTCATTCTGATCAGGTCCAATTCCAGAACCCCAAAAAAATAGATTTATGATAATCTTATTTCCTTTGGAAGTGGTGCAACTAATAGGGATGTAAGTGAGCTGAGCTAACTTAATACAGTTCTAAAATCGAGCTCTGTTGAACTTTTATTTGTTGTCCTCGAGCTCAGCTATTATTACCCAAATAAGGAAACTTCAAACTGGACTTAAGCTTGAGTTCAAACAGAAATAGAGCTCGAAAACATGTGAATAAATACTTAATCATATTATAAAGAGTTTAAAATTTCAAAAACTCCATTAGGCTCGTGAGTTGCTCAATTCAAGTATTAAAAAAAAATACTCAAACTCAAATCGTTACTCTACCTATTTGAGATCAAGCTCGGGCTCCACTATTACTATGAATAAATCAAATTTGAGTATTCAAACTTTCATTTCACTCATTTCAACCTTATCAAACCGTAGTTACATTACAATACTATAAAGGACTGCATAATACTTGTTAGAAAAAAAAAACGACAGTAAATTTTCCAAAACAAGAATGCATAGAATCAATGGTAAAAACCCATTTCAAAAAGTAGTAAATTTGAATGGTAAACTAAAGAGATGTGAAATAGAGTAATAATTACCTTGTCTCTAAACTCTCTTACGAACTGCTTGGGTCTTTTGATGTCAGAAACATCGGATTGCTTCTTGCTTTTCTTCGCTCCATATTTGCCCAACTCCAACTCGGTCTTCCTCGTAATCGCCAACTCATCTTTTATTTTCCTTTTTCTTTAATACTATCTCTGATACGTATGGCAATGGCTGTCCCTCCTCTTCCGCCATCATCTTTCTGTCTCATATGATAAAAAGGATTTACCCAGTCGAAATTGAAGGACCAAAAATCAGAAATAAAATAGGAAAAAGAATGAAATTTACCCAATAAAAGGCGTTGAAATACGGTGGCGCAGCTGAGGAGAAACGGCAGCGGCTAGGCAGCATAAAATTTGACAGGCAAGGGGAAAGGGCAAAAAATTAGGCTTTATATGGAAGAGGGTATAAGCGATATAATCGAAAAAATATAAGAGCATTTTGGTAATTACGTGGTCGGGGCAAGGTATGGGTGGGTTAGAACAAATCCTTATCCGCCCCGACCCTATTTGTTTTTGGGTAAGCGTAGCGGCCCAACTTAATTTTTTTTTCCTGCACTGGGTTTAGGCTGGTTCAGGCAGAACATCATTTGGGCTCTATTTCAAAATTAAGAAAAAGTGTATTACATTTTTAAAAAATAAAAAATTATTACTGTATTAATTTGAATTTAAATGTCCATATTTCTTTTTTAGGCATATTTTCATTTTTTTTAAATTACAACTCTTACTTTTTATATTTTTATTAATTTTTAATATTTTTTACTTTTTATAATAAAAGCTACTATTATTTTTCAAATTTATACAATTATTATAATTTTAAACACTAAACTTAATTTTTTAAAAAAATTTGAAGTATTTATAAATTTTTTACATATTTATTTAGTATAAAAAAGATGTGTTTGATTCACAAGAAATAATAAAATAGGATAAGATAATATTATGAATAAGATTAAATTAAATAATATCATTATATTTTATATTTGATGTGTATAAAAATTAAGATAATATAATTTATTTATTGATAAAAATTATTTTTCATTAAAATTATACAATTTAAATTATTAATATAACTTTTAAGAGTATAATAAAATATATAAGTTTACTCTTATAAATTAAAAAAATTATTTTTTTAAGAGGATTAAATTATTTTATACAAAGAATATGATTAATTCTATTTGTAATCTTATTTTTTTTAGATACAAAATAAATATAATATAAAAATATTATCATTGTATCATATACATCATCTTATTCACCAATTATGATCGAAAGGCATTAAAGTATAACTATTTGAAAAATACTGTAAAAAATAACTTTTGGCAAACTTAATAAAAAATTGTTATAGAATGTTAAAAAAATCTATTTGATTGTATTTTTTTATATTTTTAATAAATGAAAAAAATAATATTTTTTATTAAATTAAATCACAAGTTTTAAAAAAAATAAAAAAACAAAATTTTTTTATTAATTGTAATAAAAATAAATAATGTAAATAAAAATAAAATAAAATGAAATAACACAATACACTTTATAATTTTGACAATTATTAAATAATAAAATGAGAATATAAAAAACTTTTATTAAAAACTTATTATTAAAATTAATATTTATTGTAAAATTTTTTATCTATAATTGCACCTAAAAACTAGAATCCGACATCCTCTAATTTTTTTAATTAAAATTTAATGAATTTGCATAAAATCTATAAACTTTTTTGTTGGACTCTACCAGTCTACCTTAATTATAAAAGATAAATTTTTTAAATTTTATAACATGAATATTTTTAGCGTTAAAAATATTTATGAAAAAGGATTAATATAATTAAAAATGACGTGGCGAAAGGGGATTGGTGTCTTGACCCTAGAAACTAAAGAGAAAATTAAGTCAACAAGTTGACTAGCAGAGACCCTACCACATCCCAAACAATTCAATCATTTTCAACCGACTTTTCCACCAGATTCTCTCTCTCTCTCCCCCCCCCCCCTGGTTCCCTCTAGTTTGAGCTTTTCCCCACACATACCCAAGTCTCTTTTCGCTTATCGGCCTTCCCTTTCTCTCGCTCCTTTCATCTTCTTTTTCCTTCGCATTTTCCCTCATTTTCTCGAAAAGAATCCCTCGAACCAAACGGACCTTAAAAAAAAAAAGTGGAAAGAGAATCTTCGTATTCTTCACCTTTTCTTTTCCACTTTTACTCTCTGTCTCCTTTGCTTCGAGAACCTAGTGGCCACTTTTCCCCTAGTTTTACTCATTTTTCTAAAAAAAATTTAAATAGTTTCTCTCTCTTAGTCTCTTCGATTTCAACTCTTTTTTTTGTTAAATAAAACAAATTTAATTTTTTTAAGGAATGTTCTTTTGAGTTTCGATTTTTCAAAGTTTGTTGCCAATGTGAAATGCGGAGTTAGCTGTGATCGAGCTAGGGTTTTGAAATGAAGCAATGCGGTGAAGAGAGAGAGGTTTTGATTTAGTGTGTGCGGGTGCATTGGGGGGGGGGGGGAAGTGATGGAGCAGAGTAGGGTTTGCTTTGTAGAAAAATCAGTTATTAGTAAATGCTGAAGTCGGAGAGGATGGCTGCGGTGACGGCGGAGCGATCCAGGGCGGCAGGTGTACCGGAGAGGGACATCGATTTGGTAAAAATTTTATTTGATTTTTTAGAATGTTGGGATGTGGCTAGATGGAGAAAAGTATGCTATTACTTTCTTTTTTTACAAATGTGTTAGCTTTGTTAATTGAAAATGTGGAAAATGGAAAATGGTTGTTACTATTATTAGTAGGAATGTTGTTTAGGTTCTGATTATGAGCTGTTAAGTATGTTGTTAATTAGGGATTTTTTTTTTCTTTTTCTTTGGATTAATGGAGTTGGATATGACTATGATTGTGCTTGCTGAATTTTATTTTTGTTGTTTGGTGGAATGATTATCATTTGCTACAATGAAAAGGGAAAAAATTGAGTTTTATTGTTTCAATGTTATATATATATAATATATATATATATATATTGACTTAATGCGAGCATTTGAATGTCAGGGATGTCATAACCCATTATGCCTAGCCGCCCCGACTGATGGGGGAAAAAGAATACATTTTATGAAAAAGAAGGAAAAAGATAAAACAGGTTTTTGAGAAGAAAAGAAAACTAAAATAAGGAATATATTTAACCAAATATTGATTTATGATTGCTAAATGTGAGTATATTTTAAAACAAGAAGGATGAAACTTGATGGCAATGCCTTGCTTGAGGAAAATATGAAATAGATCATCTAGATTGTATAAGCTGTTAATTAAAATGTTGAATTATGTTAGAAGTAAATGGCATAATTAGCCATAGCTTAGTTGGAGCTTCAGGATGAAACAAATCTGACTTCCACCATTATTTTTTCTCATAAATTTTATACAAATCAGAACTGCACTGAAATTCGGGATCATTCTCCAATTAGTACTATCTATAGTTTCTGGTGGCTCTCCTGATAAGTAAAATCGTGATTTTCACTTTTTTTTTTTTTTTTTTCACACTTGCATACAACATTGTGATCATATTTTACTTACTGTAACTTCTTCTTAAATAGATCTACAACTGGAAATCTTTTCTTTTCATCCAAAATTCAGTTTGCATTTTGGATTTTCTATGTTTTAATTCTGATTTTTCATTTTTGCATTAAACACAGGCCATCACTGCCCTTAAAAAAGGAGCACCATTGCTCAAATATGGTCGTAGAGGAAAGCCCAAATTTTGTCCTTTCAGGCTGTCCAATGTAAGACCGGATGCATTTGAAGATTAATATGTTAACTGTTGCACATGTTTCTGTGAATAAAAACTGAAGATTTGATTGTTTTGTAGATGGTTATTTATTAACTATTTTTCCTTGTCTGTGTGGCTTTGATTCATAAAAGTCATCTTGGTATGTAACTAGCTCTTTTCTTTCTTACTATTTATCTAAACTATGTTTCATGATGGAACTTTTGGAAAAGTAGATGATATGTTTTACTTTTTGGTTAAGTTAGATGTCTGAAGGGCTGTCAATCTTCTGAAAGTGAAAAATAGAAATTTGTGATATACCTATATTAGGGAGGGGGTGTTAGATGATCTCTCCTTAGTGATGGAATGGCTCGGATATGTTTTATGCAGATTGGTTTACCAGATGTTAGATTAATACAAATAAAAAGATTGTTTAGCAACCTCTGCATTATTACTTTTTCTGAATAAATTTTCACAAACTTAATTTTAGAAGCCTTCATACCTAGAGGTTCTTAAGCTTAGTGGAAAAGTTTATAAAAAACAAGTTATATGTTGTGGTCACCCGAGCTTCCTATATGTTAGACATGCATGAAAGGTAGCTTATAACAAAATGGTAGCTTCACATTCACACATACATGCAACTAAATTACTTGTCAGAACCATTGCCCATCTCTCATCAACTAAATATGGGGGCTTATGTTGCTTACAGGTTGTATTACTCTAATTCTTTGATGGGTCTATTGTACCTGGGCACTTAGGCTCTGTTTGGTTGGGAGGATGGAAATGAGGAAGAAAAAAGTTTTAATCCAATGGTTAAGCATAGGAAAGTGATTATGAAACCAAACCATTAGATTAAAACCTTTCTATCCTTCCTACCAAGAAAGCCTTAGAAATAGGTCTGAGAATTCCTTATATTTAACATCGCTTACAAGAGTTATATGTTGCATTACAAGTGCAAAAAATTGGAAATTGTTCATCGAGACATATATGTTGTTTTATCATTGAAGATCACGAACAATTAGAAGTGGACCATCAAGCTCGTGATGAAGGGATTTGTATGAGGGCTTCAATTCTTGCTGGATTTACTGTATTGCGCAAGTTTTATCCTTATGTATTTTTGCTAGATTTTAAGGAATCTTTGTGTTTCAATTTTATTAGGTAATAGCAAGCATGAGACAAAAATCAGACATGCAAAACCCAGACAACTGTACTAGGAAGAAAAAGTCAATACTATTTAAAAAGGGAAGAAGGGTCCTGGGTTGGCTTCCTCAAAATATTATTTGTTTTCTTTGTATGCTGCTTTCCTGAGCAAATATATGAGGTAATTCGTATATGCTCTTATGGTATGGCATTTAACCAATCTGTGAATGATATTTTGGGGCTGGTTTCAAGAAGACTACTGCAATCTGTCTACGCTGAATTTTGTTGGCCACATATTGCTTCTTTTGTTTCTTTCTGGAAGACAAGTTATCTTGATGCTATATGATTGAGAACCTAACCTAAAACTTCATATGCCACATGTCTTTTCCTTGTTTCTTTTCAGGATGAATCTGTTCTAATATGGATCTCTGGGAAGGAGGAAAAAAACCTTAAACTAAGTTGTGTCTCCAGAATTATACCTGGTCAGCGAACTGTGAGTTTATCCCTGTCAAG